TATATATATATTAATTAAAAAAATAAAAATAGATTGATATTGTGGAATTAATTTCAATTTTTGTATATTTTCTGAGGTATAATTTCGTTTTGGAAAAATATATTTGGTAATTATTATTTGGAGATTTCTAGGTTCGTGCAGAATATATATTAACTCTTTATTTTTTTGCGTTCCCATTATTTTATATTGGGATGGATGGTGAATGCTCAGAGATTGGAAATCTGATTCTCGATATGATAGGTTGATTTTCAGAATTCTTAGATTCAATTTCGGATAAAAAGGTCTCAAAAAAAAAGATCTCATTTCTCATTACTCGACTTCGATATTTCATGGGATATTGGACTGAATCTTGGGTCCGATATATCCCAAATCTAAATTTCGATAATTATCTTTCTAATTCGATATCTATGGGATGAGACTTATATCGACTCAATATGATCATCATAATTTGATATATATATATATATCATGATTGGGAAAATGGGATTGTATAATTGCATCTGCGATGAGGAATATCGTCTTTTATCAGGAGGAATTTTGGAATTGTAATTGGATCCGATGGGGTTGTTGCCTGACGAATCGGATAGGAGATCAACTGACCTTCTGATTATCTCTTCTATTCTTTGTCGACAATCACCATAGAATTTTCTCCCATGGACAACGATTGATTTTGGGGTCGTCTCTCTTTTTCGGGCCGCTAAGGGGCGCTCGGCTATTATCCCTGAAATGGCGTAGCCAGGGTACATAAGCTAAGTGCCACGAACAGGAGATCGGATTCGAGCCAGTCATCTTTGAGCATGCGAGGGGTTTGAATCAGGAAGATATTCGATTGGTGGAATCTCTATATAAGATGATTGATGATCTTAGTGGACGTCCCATAGGTCGAAGTCGATACTTATTATAGGAGAGAATTTTTATGTCGTTCTCCAATATTATATCCATCATTATTTGTCATGGAGTCGTATGGAATTATTTATTCTGATCAGAACATCTCCCCAGCGCAGGCGAGCTATGATAATTGATGGAAGGTATGAGTATTTGGGGCCTTATATGATTTAGAATTTCATTTCATCCTTGGGAATTGAAATCTCTTGCGTCAATGATTTTTCTTTGTAATTGGGAATTTTTGTCTTCTCCCCCTTTTCGTCTTTCTGGGATGCCCTATATAATTGCGGGTGGGGGTGGGCTTTTAAATATGATGAAATATCTTGGAGAGCACGAAATTTGTGTGGTATTTTGCTTTATTTTGAATTGGTTCCTGGGTTTTTCATTCTATTTCTTAATTGGTTCTTTTGGGATAGAAGCCTCCTGTACCGACGATTCTCATCGTGAATGTTCGACTCGGATATCATACGTAAGCAGTTCAGAAATTGTCAAATAAGAAGGGAGAGAATTATAAGGATTCGAATACGTCTAATAATATTTGCGAGATTTCATAAGAATTTTGAAAGGGGTTCAAAATGAAAAGGGAAATACCAAATATATTTTTCAAGATTGATTAAATATATAAAGGATTATAGGATATTATCTTGATCTCGTGCCTCGGCGACCAATCTATCGTAGGATTGGCGTCGGATATCTAATATTCTATTTGGGGACCTATTTTGAAAAAGAAATTAGTGAATTCCGATAAAGATTTATTTAAGGATTATAGCTGCCCTTATTGAAATTTTGCTCCAATTGGGGGAAAGAGATCAAATGAGGAGGGTGAAGAGTTACTCGGGAGCTTGGGCGGATCTTGGATTGAGGTGATTCCCAATCAAGCAATTGATAGATACGAATTTGTCCAATATTGAATTTCATGATATCCTTTCCATACGATTTGCTTTATTATTCGATATTGATATGGAATATCGATTATATTCCCAAATTATGATATCTTTGAACATCATTATTTTTTTGATTGGGAAAATCATTCTTCGTAATCTCATCCGAGATGAGATTTTGCGGATATTGTGAGGCGTAAGATTGGGAATTGCATGAATCAATTGCTCTTTTGTCAGATGACCCTATACGTCGACCAATGAATATTTTGATTGTATCCACCCCTTTGTATCGACAATCTATTTTGAAATAATTTGGCCGGATCACGATAGACTTTGTAATGGTTTCGCCATTCCAGATTGGTACGCAACGAAATAATATATGTATCACAAGCCCCAGGATCGGGACACTCTGGCCCGATGAAGTGAAGAGGGACTTGGATTTGATCCCATGACATTCGATTATACGGAGGGATTGAATATCGAGAGAATTCGATTCTTGGAATCTCTCTGCCGGATTGATGAAGATCCATTGGAGCGACTTTCGGGAATCAAAGATTCGATTATGGGAATTCATTTCTTTTGCATTATAATGATACTTTCATAGATATGATCAATAGCGTCATGAAGGTGCTCAGGAATCTTCGATGGGGGGAATTCAATATCTTCTTTGATAGGAAATCCCTCCGCGCAGATGGATTGGATTGGATTCTACGATCTGAATGAAATGAGAAAGTATCGATGGGAATGATATCTATTGGAATGAATCGTCTCTTTATTATAATATATTCTGATTCTCATTCTTCAATATTTCATTATTTATCATTTCTTCGTCATCTTTTATCTAATTTCGTCTTTCTGAAATATCCCATTTAATGGGGAATGATGGTGGCTTTTAAATACGTCGTGGTATCTTAGAGAATACGAAATATATTTTCTTGATTTATTTTTATTCCCGGGTTTCATGGAATGATTTCTTTAGTTTCTCCATTAAATCTTCTTTGAAAGGGATTCGAATTGATACTTTTGGGAGCAGAAATCTTTTATATTATTTCTTATTTCATACGAATCAGGCTCATTTTTTATTATAAGATCAAATAGAATAATATTGATATCCTAAATAGATCTATATAGGAATTCATATTTATATTATCGATATATATCTATGCGGATTTGATATATTATTTTGCCAAAAGAAATATTAGATCCCATTAAATCCTAAATCCTAAGAATTTTCCTTATTTCCTATCAGAAAAAATCATCCTAAACTCTGAATTATTTTATCATCACATATTTTTTCTATAATTATATGGAGATCGTGAATATACTACGATATTGATTGAGAACGATATCTATATCTATATATAAATTATTCAATTATATGGAGTCTACGCCATATTTATATAAAACTATTATTTTATTATGCTAAGCCTCGTATCCATTTCCAATTCTTAAATATTTTTCTATATTCATATATTCCTTTCTAGATTTTCTATTATAGATATATATAATGAAATATAATCAGTTTATGGGGACCTATACGCCCAAACTATATAGACTTACCTAGACAGATATTATATAGACCTACGCCCTGCTGGGAATAAAAACCATTTGGGGGGATGGAGGATTGGGAGCCGCACCTGGCTTTGGCAACACGACTGTGGTACGAGGGGGCAACAGCCGGTCGACACCGTAGGCATCTGCAAGATCGGAGTTAGCGTCAAGCAGCTGGCGAATAGGGCAATTTGGCACCCGCCGTGAGATGTCTGCAAGGGTAGTGTGCCCATCAGTGACGTATTCGGATTCACCATTGCTGCTCTGCTCGCGAATTATAATTTGCCATGGGATTTATTTAGTATCGGAGGATCCTATACGTAGACCAATGATCATTCTGATAGTGCCACAATCTATTTGGAAATATTTCGATCGAATCGATATGGATTTTATAATTGGACCATCCTTCCGGGAACGGGCCCAATCGCAGAATATAACGAGCAAGGAATCGGATTTGAACCAAACATATTCGATTATATAAGAGATCTGAATATCGAAGGGATTCAATTTGATTTGCCATGCGATAAATAGATCATTGGAATGGATAATAAAGATTTCTAAATTTCATTTATACGAATATATTTCGTTTATATTGCAACGATACTTATATAGATATATCCAATGTCGTCGTGAAAATGAAAAAAGAACCTCCCATCAAATATGAAAGTTCTTTCTTGGTATCCATTTTTGATTAAGGAAGAGGATCATTAAATAATTGATATCCTAATTGGTAAGATTTCAATATAAAGATCCCTCAATATAGATGATTTTCCTTTCTCACATTGATATTCTAGATAGATTATGAAATGTCTTTGTCGTGTATGATCTTGCATATGGAGTGGTAGCGAAAATAATTTTTCGGTTCATTATTAGAAGATATTGTTTTTAATTTTTTTCCTTCCATTTATTATGAATAATCCCATCCTAGATCCCAATATCTAATTTGAGAATTTACGAATTTGAATATAATTAGATCTCATTCTCAATTTTTTTCAATTATCGGAATCGATATTGATTTCTTTCATTTTTTTCATCTTTCTTTATAAGAAGAATAGTGGTCTTTGGAATAATTGAAATGCCCTAGAAAATACGAGATATAGAATATAATTATTTAATCTCATTTTCCGATTCTTGAAAATTTAAATATTTAAAATAAATTAAATATTTCTAATTTATATGTGCTTTTGGGCACAGAAATCGCCCAAACCATGCCGGCAAAATATTGCGCGGCCGATTTTCAATAATCATGCCTCTACATTTTCTTGTTTCGGGAAAAAGATGTTGTTCCCATCAATATTGTAAAAGGCGAGCAGCCAAAAGTAATGGGAATAGCTTTCATTCCAGCAATATCATGAAAAATTCTACAACATAGAAAAGCCAACTAATCTACAGCAAAATTCCTTGAAGTTTCCCGGAAAATTCATAACCATGGCCCAATGGCCCGGGAACAGCAAATCTGCCGCACATCGCGAGTTCTGGCCTTCAAAGTTGATGCCACATTGACGCTAGAAGCCTTTGAACGAAGAACCACAAATTATATATCAACGCTGACCCCCTTCAAAAACGTTCAATGTTCAAACAATCTCTTCACATCACTCGGCATATACAGTATTCGAACTTTGATAGCAGCATTTTTGAATGACAGGCAGCCTAGCAGCAAGACTTTCGCACGAGATCCAGGGCTCAGATCTCCTTGAAGAGGGTGAGGCTTTTGATATTTGCCGGGACGTCCTTCCGGACTCCAATCAGAGGTCAAGGGATTTTGCCACAACCCATTGCTCACTCGATCTCTCTATCTTTTTATCTCTCGCTTAAGACCCACCTCCCCGCGCCCAAGAGAAAACAAAGGGCTCGCGCCATCTCAGAACGACGAGCATTCCCCCAAAATCACTTTTTTGCCCAGCACCTTGACCAACAAGCCAGAATCACTTCTTAGATCATGACATGCCAAGAAGGCACACTCATCTTCACGCCAGAAACCACTTATGATGCCCTGAACCTATGCAACTCTTGCTTAATCCACTCAAAACACGCAGGCAGTCCTTGAACAGCATCTCCCTGCAACCTGTATTGGGCTTTGCCACAATACCACACTCCAAACAGCGCGCGGTGGCGCACCAGGTATGCCTGATATCACATAAAGACTACAAACACACGTACATGTTATCCACTGCATGACCCATGTTCGGCAAGCTTCACAAGTAATTAAGATGGACAACATGCAAAATATGGAAGCGGACAGCTGCACCAACAGCTCACAGGCATTGCGCAGCTCAATTCGGTGCATGCGTCACATGCACATGCCTGCGCTCACTATAGTATATTTGCACTTGCTTTAGAATATATATATATATACATATATAAATGTATAGCTAGATATAGCTAGATATAGCTAGATATAGCTAGATATAGTAGATATAGTAGATATAGTAGATAGAGTAGATAGAGTAGATAGAGTAGATAGAGTATATAGAGTATATAGAGTAGATAGAGTAGATAGAGTAGATAGAGTATATAGAGTATATAGAGTATATAGAGTATACAGAGTATATAGAGTATATAAAGTATATAGAATATAAATATAAATATATATATATATATAGCAGATATATTGAATCATCAGGCCCCTCTGCTGCAGATTCTGGGAGACTCAGTATCGGACCTCTTGGGGTCAAGGCGGCAATCTGCGCAAACCTCTTGGCATGCCTGTTTGAAAAAACTTTTGGAGCTGTGGCTTCCCTGATCTGCACCGCACACCTGGCACTGATGTGTGCATCCATGAATAAACACACCCTCCTCTATAGGAGCTTTGAGGATGTGGTCGCATTCTCCACACTGCCACCTTGGCCTTGTGCATCCCTCGGCGGGTTCGTCCTCTGCACAATCACAGCAATTCCACAAGTGTTTCCTCTGATTTGGGTCAATTAAACTCAAACCAAGTGAGAAAACTGCGGTTGCCGTGCGGCCAGCAGGGTAATAGAGTTGGCCCGGATGACTTGGATAGGGTGCCTTGTGGATCTTCACCGTTCTGTGTGGGACGGGCTCCAACTTGCCGTGACCCTCGGTAAGCTTGGTGTGCGCCACGACTTTCCGACAGGGGCATTCTGCTTTGTGAAGACGCATTAAAACTGATAGCAGCTCTTGTCCACAGCCATACGGGCATTCTTCTTTCGAAGAGACGCACCCTTCTTTCCTATGTTTCTCCATTTCCACTGCAGGTATGCGCAGGCCACACCCTCCTGAGCCGCCCGTGGTCCCGCACACAAGCAGCCTGTATGGGCACTCACCCGCATGTTTTTGCCAATCCTTGGCTGCAAACTTCTTTCTGCACTTCCCGTCTGCGCCTTCATTTTTGCATGTTATCTCGACACCAGCACATTCATGGGCATAATGGTGAGGTAAACGTCCACGAAGCATACGACTTCCGCGAGAGAAGTCCTCACTCCTCCGAGTTTCCGCTGGCACGTCTTTTGGAAAGCAACACTTGTTTCCCTTTGCTTCGTGCTGGCAGCGGACCCTGTACTCCTGGCACAGTGACATCTTGGAAGTGTGTGTTGAGATCTGCGCGGTATCGCCGTCGCCACAGATCAGATGCTCTGGAAGCTTCGACCACACAATTTGTTGGAAGCTACTCTCAGGTGGCTGTGCCGACGGGTCTCCATGTGCTGGCATGCCGCCAAGGTCTTCAATTTTCTTGCACCGCAATGGACATTCTGCTGCAAATGCTGGGCATGCAAGGACACTCGGATCAGTTCCAATAAGGTGCGCTGGCATGTCTTTCCAAAGTACCATGCATCGACACCACCCACAAGCCAGTTGCATCTTCTGACAGGTTGAGAAGCAGTGCTTCAAAACGACTGTTGTCCAGTCCAACGTCTCTCGTGGCTGGCCATCGGGTGGTTTCAAAAGCTCTTCGCAGTATGGGCACTTGACCTTCAAGCCAGTGCAGGACATCAGGTGTGCACCGCGCTCTGTTGCGGCAATAGCTTGTTGACAAAGACCACAACTGACTTTCACACCGGCGCAGTCAGAAAGCCAATGCTGTGTGGCTTCAGTCAGAGCTATGGTTTTGCCACACCCAGTCGCGTCGTTGCGGAAGAAAGTCCCGCGCTCTGAGCAAGTGAATTTCACGCCTGCTCCTTTGCACGTCTGGAAGTGGGTGATCTCCTCCTCCTCAAGCAGGTTCTCAAAGCACAGGTAGCATTGGGCTGACTTGGTCTTTGGACAATCAAAGGCCACATGCCTTGTCTCATCCTTCCGCTTCACCAGAGCATTGCATCTTTCACAAGCTTTTGTGGCTTTGTCGCAATCCTTCGTCACGTGGAAGACCAAGTCTTTCATGGGCGTCGCCAACTCGCAGTGCGGACAGGGAATCAAATGCCCAGGACACTCCAATCTGAGATGAGTTGCGAGCGCCTCCCGGCGAGGTGCACAAAAACTAAGTTGGTTATCATCAAGAGCATGAAACGAGCATTAAAGGCCAAAAACTCTGCATCCGCATGATCAAAGAACTCAATTATATTCGGCTCTGTAAAAACGGGAGCATATGGGAGGTCGGTTTGGGATGCTGGAACATGGGCACTCCCTCCACCTCGAAGCCACAAGGTCGACTCCGTAACTCTTTCGTTGATGTGCCCCTCCCCATTACCTTTGAGGCTTTAGGGCGGCCATCTCCTGTCTTCATAATATTAAAACATATCAAATCTGTGCTACCACGCATGGAAAATGGTGGCAATAGTGACGTTGCGGTGTGCGATTTCTAGCTCGCGCTCTCTCTCTCTCTCTTCCTTCCTCTCTCTCTCTCTCGCTCTCTGCTTTGCAGGTGGGCGCTCGTCTTTTCAGTCTCTTAATCTTCTTCTCCAGACCATGTCTTCTTCTACGCGGCTTGAAGAGCCCGAAGGCTCTCCGCACACAAAAAGCGCGCCCAGGCTGCGGTGAAACTGAACAACTCAAGGCACATCTCTCTCTCTCTCTCTCTCTCCTGCACGCATGGGCCCCCCCCCCCCCCCGAAGAGGAGAGCCGGCCCCAGGGGTGCGCGAGTCCGAAGGTCGTTGGAACGAGGGGCTTGCTACGGTGTTCATAGTCCCCTTTCCGGATTACAGAACGCCAGACGCCAGATGGCGAAAATGAAGTGGTCACAGGGGAAAAACATGCACCCAGAGGACTCTATTGGGGTCCCCTCCAGGTTGCCTGTCAAAGTGGTGGAATGAAAGAGCGCCGCCCCGAATTAAACCCCTGGCCATCTCTCTTTCTCTTTCTCTTTCTCCTTCTCCTTCTCTTTCTCTTTCTCTTTCTCTTTCTCTTTCTCTTTCTCTTTCTCTTTCTCTTTCTCTCTCTCTCTCTCTCTCTTTCATTCTTTTTCTGTTTATTCGTCCTTTTTGGCTGCGCAGGCAACAGCTAGTCATAGGGGTTCCATGCAGCCTTGGCTTGCTGAACAGGGGAATAATCATGTCGTATGGCAATCATGATCATAGAAGGGGGTCTGCTGCAGGATTCTTTCGGGATGCTCTGTGGGTGGGCACTCCGGGGATACTTCTGCAGATTCTCTGAGGGTGCTCCAGGCATTCTCTAGTTGTGACACTCAATTCTTTGCGGGATTCTCTTCTGGGGCTGGACACTCCAACGACACCATGGAAATCTGGCGGCGTGGGCTCCTGTGATACTTACTCCGAGATTTTCTGTTCCGGGAATCTCTTGGACACTCCGACTCTGCCAGGGGTGGGGTGGGGTGGGGGAGGGGGGGGCGCGGGTTTCCCTTTCTGGGGGGGTGAAATATTTCGTGGGGATGCTTTGAAGGTAGGCAGTGCCCCTAAACCCTAAACCTGCATGAGACCCGAGGAGAATATCTGATTCAAGTTTGATAACCACACCCTGAGGCAACAAGAAAAAAAACATACCGCCACCCTCACCCCTCTCTTTTGTAGTAATGCGTCGAAAGTCTGCGTGCATTAACGAAAAGCTGTTGATGGTCAGCTTCTTTTGACAAGCATCCCATACCTCCGCTGCATCATCATCGACATCAAGATCCTCTCCGCAAGAAGGGCACAGAAATCGCTCAGGCTCCAAATGGATCTGCGAGAGGGCGTGCTCCACAAATTTCATTTCTGCTTGAGCCTTCTCGTCCAAATCAATGCTGGCCAAGCCTGCGAGAGACTGAGCTGTGAGGCGCTCGAAAGCACTACCTTCTTCGAGGCCTTCCCTTTGACGGCTCGTCGGTTGACACGTGCGTCTGTCGAGTGGGTTCTCAACATGTTCCACCGATACGTGGTGCACCTCATCCTTTTTGCAGTAAGCCCTTGACATGCACAAAGTTGGTGCCCAACCCGGGTCGCCATCAATCCACCTCTCTGGCCACGACTCACATGACATCAAGAAGTGCGCGCAGTCCTTTTCCAAATGGTCCGCCATGTTCTTCTTCGAACATCTGGCATGGCAACCACGCATGAAGCATTGCATGACATTTTTGTCACATCTCAATGCAAGGTGACTTGCTAAGTCTTTCAACGGCATGGGCTCAACTCCACAACTCCTCGTACATCCTATCTTGAACTGCTCGCACTCTCCGATCAGATGCCTGACCTCTGCACCTTTGTGATTGATCGCAATCATCTGCCCGCAGCCAAAAAAACAGGGAACCTGCACGCCTTGGCACTCTCTCAAATGCTCGGTTGCCGAACCGTACAGCACACCTGAAGCGCATTTACCATCAGAGAATGGACATGGAAACCTCACGCAAAGCTTCAGGTGCTGGAGGAAATCTGCACCGGAACATCTGGCTGCGGGCAGATGCTTTCCAGCTCGTCTGCACTTCGCATCGCAAGGCTGCTGGGGGTTGCACTTTCTGCTGCGACGTTCCAGAAGATCAATGCACTTTTGGCCAGATGGACATGGGAACCAATAAGCTTTACAGAAGTGGCGCTTCAACGGTGTTTGCATCATCGAGCTTGATCCTTCATTAAAAGCTTGCTGTTGCCCAAGCTGGAAGTGCTCAGTCAGATCCTTCAGAGGCAACTTCTCATTGCGTGTGCACCGGAGGGGGCACGAAATGAGGAACTGACGACACTCCTGGCACAAGTGTGGCATCGAAGCTGAGGCAGGAATCGCAAGCCCGCAGGGCGCACCAAGAAACAAAACACTGTATCACAAGCCTGTGCTTACCAAAAAGCAATCCAAACCAAGACTCCGCCGAATACTGTTGGCGTGGGCACGGCAAAAATACTGTGCATACTCTGGCGGAGACTACAGGGATGCTCCACAGAGTACTCCAACAAGAATGTTCCGCGTGAAACTCCAGGAAATCTGGGGAATACTCTGGAAAAGGACTCATATTTTTGCGGGGGCGGGCACTCCAGAGATACTCTGAGCGGGACCTTCTTGGTTCAAGGTGGCGCTCCCCGGACAATCCGGGGTGCTGCGGGATAATTTAGTGGGCGCTCCAGGGAAAATGAGGCAGTTCAGATCTACACACCTAACCATATTTACGCAACTCAGCGACATGACGGCAAGCAACTCTCTCTACAACTAAGGAAAAAAAGAGACAATAACTACCACGAGTATCTCGCTTTCTTGCATGCAGACTGCGCAGCCCATGGCCGGGACGGCTGTTCGCAACCTTTGCGATACCCACAACACGAGTTTGTTGAACAGCTAAATCCATCCCCTGAATCCATACCTCTTCGCGTCAGCCTGACCCTCTTATATACACAGCTCCTGGCGCAAGTGCTTCATCAGCTCGGACGAGTTTGAGATCTCTTTCCCGCACTCGCCACAGCTTCGCAGGGCCTCCACTTGAAGGCCATAGTCCTGAACACACTTGGTTGGAGAATCATGTGTCGTTTAAGGGCAACTACATGTACAACTTGGTAGAACCTTACCTTTCCTGGGGAGCCCGAAACCCTGAAAAACTTCGTGCTTCGACTCTCACACCAGCAGCAAGCAGGCGAGGATTCCACGGTTCGAGGTGCGGGTTTATGCCTTCTACGGGCACCTGATGAATCATATGTTCCAGAAAAACCCCCCGATCATCTGTCTACCATTCCCAAGAACCCCGTCCTGAATATCTGATCGGTTGCAGGATGGCCACCAGCACTTTGCATTTCGATTTGGACACTCCTGGGGACTCAGAGGCTGTGTACGTAAAGAATGCCATACGAGATACTTGGAGGTTCATGGGCTATTACAAGTAGAGTTATAAGTACCCTAAATAGGTCTCAGGATAGTTACCATATTTATAATCCTACTACCCATGAACCTCCAAGTAGCCTCATGTTCCTTACAGCAGCCCAAGACTCCTGGTGAGTGTGAGTATTGACCAGGCTTGGCAAGAGCATCTCACCACAGTCCAACTGGCAGGGAACCAGATTGCTCTGGCAAGAGCTTTCCTTGATGGTTCTTGCACCCTCTAGTGAGTAACTTACATTTTGTAAGCCCAGTCCGTGGTTGGTTAGTTGGTGTGTTGTTCGTAGACATGCTCAACAACTGTCCAGCTTCGTGGCATCGCATTCGGGCGAAGGGAGATGCTTGCAAGTCAGGGCAGTCCACCAGAACCACATCTTGGCATCGAAGGCATCTAATCGATATCATTGGACATTCGCTTTGCAGGTGTTCCAGCATTCGGCCTTGTTTAATAGTCTTCCGGCATCCAGATTTGCATTTCATTTCCCAGCGCGTCCGGTCCTCTTGCGCTGCTACTGGAACCTCACATGCTCTTGAAGCGCCTGCAAAGATGATACAGTCGAACGGGCCTGCCCAAGATTACTATAACAAAGGATCAACACGGTCCAGGAACTGCGTCGTCGGAAGACTTGCCCGGACAGGGTACTGGCTTTTCTGGGCACACAGCGTGGTGACCTTCCTAGATGCCCGAGTTCACAGGGCAAAAAATGCTGTGCAGCTGGATTTAAACCCCCAAAATGAAACCGAAACAGCTTTTGCTCGGGGATCCTAGCTTCCAGAAGATTTTGCGACATCCTTTTAGAACAGTACTCGCAAGACACTGGGCGGCAATCAAAGCTCTTGTGATGCTTCATCCTCTCGGATATCACGAACTCGCCACACACTTTGCACGCGACTGACTTGTTATCAGTCTTGCACTCATGCCGTCCAGAAGCCAAGGCCATGCACACGACCTTCTTTCGGCAGGATGGGCACTGCACCATGCCCTTGCACTGAGTCTTCCTGTGATGCTTCTCGCAGGTCCCTGGAGCTGCACCAGTCTGCTTCTTGCAACCCATGCAGTTGTCACCTTTGCACTCATACAAGTCATCCTTAGAGCAGCCATCGTTGGGACAGTGGTGAAGCATCTGATCACGCGCCTCGCAGTAGGCCTCATGCTGGCCAATTTGTAAGAATGCGAACTCCTGTTGGCAATACTTGCACGGCACCTTGAGGCTGTTGCGCTGCGGGCACTCGTACTGCATGTGCTCGGTAATCTTCGAACGCTCAATATCTTCCGTGCACATCGGGCATTCCACGGATGTTGGAAGGGACGGCCCAGTGTCAGTGAAAGGGTTGATGTACTGGTCGTTGTACTTCTTCATGTGCTCGAAAGTCGGTGGAGGGGTTGGGCTAATGATCTGTCCGTTTTCTTCTTTCTTGTCGAGAAATTTCTCGATGCTATGAGCATGTTCTGTCATCTGAGCAAGGAGCTCAAGAATCTTCCTCTTGGTCTCATCATCAATTTTGGCCTCCTTTGATGGCTCATCAGAATTGTACGTGCTTTTGCCAGAGAAGCCGCCTGGGCTGTAGCGGCCTGAAGAATGTGGATAATCTTCTTCATCCGAGTCTGTGTCCACAAACGTGTCTCCAATCTCGAAATTCGATACTCCGGCTTTGGAAGCACTCTTCTTTTGTCCTTGCGCGCCGGTGAAAAGCCCCATTAGATGCTTGGCCAAATCCTCAATCAAATGCTTCATTCGAACGTGTAGGCCACCTCGGATACGCAGGCCAAAGAGGGTGATATCAAAATCAACGTACACTTCCAAGCCTTTGCTGCCACCAATTTCTCCTCCCAGCTTGACGTAACGGACATCCAGCACTTGCGTCGCCAGCTTCTTGACAATATCTACTGCGAAGTTGACACCCTTATGCACCACGTCAACTAAATACTTTGCAGCTTGGCACAGCCACCTTAATAGCGTCGCAAAGAGACCCAAAATTGGAACGCCTTCGAGCTTCTGGAGGGCTTTCTCCGCAGTTTCGAGGCCTTGCTTCAGCGTCTCAAACATGCCCTCAAAGGCCGCCTTTAGATTGCCTCAGAAGCTATCAGATATTGCGCCATCGCGAAAGACTTCGCACTCTGTTAGGGCTCAAGACTCAAGGTTATACGGCCCAACCCGAGCTCCGAAGGCATGAGCCGAGCCGAGAGTCCGAGCAGAGCTTCGACGATGCCTTCTCTCTCAACCTCATCCCATCGGACTCTCTGCTCCACATTGCCTTTGAGCTGCCGGATTAGCAGGTCCTTCCGCGTCTCCTGCATGCATTGATGTTGCCTGCCAACACTAAGCTGCACTTCGCGATCGAAAAAACCTGCAGCTCCCCTCGGCCTGTCGCCGCAAAAGCCTCAAAGACCTGGTTTACATGTGCGAACACAGGCTTGGACCTTGCTTACTGAACTCTGGGCAAAAAAGCTGTGTCCTTCACAATAGTGTAGCGGTCGCCAGAGCCTTTCAGCTTGACAATGCATGACTGAATTGCCAGGTCAATTTTGACCTTCCGAGGAAGCATCATCATGTCCGCCACTTGTTTCACGCTGCTAGCAGCGTTGCTTCCCGGGAGCCCGGATGAGGCCATTTTATCCAAGGCCGTGGACATACCTGGCGAGATCTTCGCCATAGTCAGTCGAAGCCTTCCCCGCAGCTCATAAGCGCCGAAGAACTTAAACCGCACATCCATCCTTGGCTGCTTCTCCAACCCGCAAAAATGGCCGCTTGATATTTGGACTCCCCAAGCCCCAAACTTCCAAACAGTGTGTCAACCCTCGGGAGTGTCAACGCTGTGACGCCAGGGCCATCGTGGGTACTGGAGGTCATGGTGGGTAATTGAGGGTGATGGAGGGCAATGGTTGGGTAGTGGTGGGGAGTGGTGGGGAGTGGTTGAGTGTTGGTGGGTGTTGGTGGGTGTTGGTGGGTGTTGGTGGGTGTTGGTGGGTATCCCCAGCAGCAATTGAGGACACCTATACGGCCTGGCGCGACGCGGGGTCGATGGGCGGCTCCGCAGCTCCAGTCACAGGGCTAGGATTCGGGTGAATGTTCCCGTCGAGTCGTTGAATTCACTTCTCCGATCCCCGGCAGAGCAGAACAACTGGGCAAGAAGAGTGAACAGCCCCCAGGGTATTTTCGCGTCGGACCTGCAAAACCAATCCTCGCGCGATCCTCGAAACTGTCGCTTGGGGGCCTTCTGAGTTCTTATAGTGGTTTTGGTTCAGGAGTGCTGTTGGTGCACTCTTAGAGTCGGACAGCTCTTAGTGGTTTTACAGTCTCACAAAGTGTGAGGCCTAGGCCTAGGCTGGCATAAACACATTTGGTCAGAACAACATTGTTTAACATTTTGCTTAATGGTCTGGTGTCGTCAGCCGAGGTTGCTTCTTGTTTCCGTTCTTCCCACCTCCCTTCTGGAACTCCACAAAAGCCTCTGCCACAAACTCCATACCCCCTGGGAACAGCACAATCTTTGCATCAAGACAGAAGTACAGCTCATCCCCGGCTTTACCACCAACTCTGACAACCGCCTGCAGCGGGTCAGAATCGGACTTTGTACCGGTAATTCGCAGAATTGGGAGGTCCCCGATGCTGACCTTCCATGGCTTGATGCGCAAGAAGAACTCTGCTTGAATTCCCTGCATTGCAGATCCTTGGTCTTGCGGCGTGGCCATCAACGAACCTTTCAGGCTTTGCTTCGCTGCCTTGACAGCTTGCTCCGGCAAATCTTGCATGCTGCTCGTTCCCACATAGGGCATGCAAAGCGCGGCAAATACGGTAGCTTCAAATCCAAGAAGCTTCCACGTTGCCTGCACAGCATAGATCCGTTGATCCTTACCTGTGATTCCGTTTGTCTTCAGGAAGCTGACGATCATGTTTCTTTCATCACGTTGTTCATCACTCAGCTTCATTGCTGGCAGTGACAGCTCATGCCTGTTCTGTTTTGCCAGCATGCCGAAACGCTGAAGCGGGCAAAACCACTGTTCCACCCAGGTCAAAGGTTTGTAGACACCTTCGGGCAGGTGAAACAAGCCCCGCAGCAACATCGACATCCTGAAGCTATCATTGTACACGTAGACGAGACCGATTCCATAGAAAGCTGCCAAATCCGGATCTGACGGCGCATAGCTGATACTAAACTCATAAGTGGCATCTGGCTTGCTGGACTTTCCGCCAAAGACGAAACGAATACCAGCTGAGAGAGTGAAACTTGCAGATTGCAGTTCTGTGAGCTTCGTCTCGATCGAGCCTGCGGCATTCTGCTGCATGTTCTACTTTGGGTGCTCATGGCGTGGGTTGTTGGTGTCTCATTGCGCAAAATCTCACTTGTGTTCTTGTTTCAAGCTGGAATGAGAACTGGTACCGTGGGGACTGGCTCCTGGCGCAACCCGTGGCACGCAAAACGCAAACCTGTGCATCATGCAATTGCACAAGGGGCTCTTGGGCCCAACTTGAAACCATGATTTCAGGAAAACGATCCAGATTATTGCAGACATTTGATTCTTGCTGTGGATGGATGCATGGATGCATGAGTGTGCATCTATACAGACTTGTGTCTGTGAGCATGTGAAGACATGTGGGTGGGTGGCTGGATGGCAGGAAGGCGGTCGGAGGTTTGCATGCGTTCATTTTCCCTGCCTAGCCTTCAATTCCATAGAATTCAATCCAATCCAATATAGGCACCCAGTGGCCGAGGTTGATGGCAGAGCCCTTGGCACCGTCAACCGCTAAGGACGCCTTGACAAATTGATCGGTCGGGTGGTACTCCAGGGATGCCTCCAACACAGCTCCTTGGCCCATGTTACTAAGGATGAATGAAAACCAAGACGTCAAGCCCGGAGCCCAAAAAAGTCGGGGGACACCATTCCGCCGCGGCCTCTTTTCCAAAACGCCGGTACGCAGCAAAACAGGCTTGTACGGTACCGGGCCTTCCCGGCAGAGCACGCCAGAATCTTATCCGCCTTGTTTGAGAGCATGCCGGTTTCGTGCGCGTGCCCCCCCCCCCCCCCCCACTGGGAGCCTAACAATGACCCAACATCCGAGATTCGGCAGATTCGGCTACTTTGTTGCAAACAGTGTCCAGACATCATCAAACCAGGCTACAAAAGGATCCCAAGGCTCTGGTCACCTTTTTCGGATCCTTGAAGTCTAACTTCAATGCACCTGTGAGCTTCTCCTGCTGGCAAGCCCCCAAAACCTAAGCTGTCTAAAACTATAACTAAAACGCTGCTCTATGGTATGACACCTTTCCACAATGGCTAGCCTACTGCACTTTCTACGCGACTGCGAAGTCCTTGCCCTCCACCACGACACAGCCAGTCGCTGCCAAGCACATGAAATCTGCCTGCATTAGGGCGATGGTCACGGACGGAAATGGGCGTGAACTAACCCACACCATCAGAGCTTCCAGATCAACCTCTCCGCACTTCAGCATTTGCCAGAAAGGACCGTTCACAGACACTTTGATTTTGAAGGCCACGAAGCTCTCCACGCAGCCTTGCTCTTGCAAAGCTTCTGCGATTTCTTGCCTGTCCTGCTGCTGCACATCCTCCAATTTCGACGCATCTGCTCTCCATCCGTGCGAGAAAATGAACCATTTAACCACTATGTGGAGACCAATGTCTCTGAAGAAGCCGGACACCTCCGGAGTGATGCAAAAGCATTGGATCAAATCCAAAGGCTGCCGGCCTTTCTTGGTATAAATGATAACAAGCCCGGAACGATCTTCAGCCTGATAGCTCACCTGGGTTGTAGTCAAGGGGTCGAGACTAAAATACTTTTCCAAGGTTGACGTGAAGACCTTCGAGCGTTGTAAAACTACATCGTTGCACTACCCACGTAAACTTATCATGTGTCAACCTACAATGAGAAATGGCCTTTGTGACTATCGGCTTGACAACAACCCGGCCACGAGTGCGCGCGAACTCGTCTGTGCGAGCTCCTGGGATTGCGAGCAGAACGTGCAAATCCAAGTGGGCTCTTTTTCGTACCATTACAAGAAACTTGTGCCGGCGCTTGCGCTAGCACAAGTTTTGAGGGCATGTGCTCATACGATAGCATAAGCTACCGAAAAAAATGGTGTGTAGTACTCACGGTCCTGGCCAAAGCCAGGAGGAAACCCCACTCGAAAAAACGTTTAGGCCATGTGGTTTACACATATGGTTTAGGGCTAGGGTTTAGGGTTTATTAGGGGGTTCAAGGTGCGCTCCGAGCGTCAATTGTAGCCCCAAAGCGTACCTCTGTCTGATCTTCCGGAAGGAGCCGAAGTTGCAGAGTCAGCTCGGTCAATTTAAAACCGCGTACCTGCCAACAGCTTACAAAAAGCACTTTTGTTCCTTCTACAAGCTGTCGCCGCCCTACGAATTCTGAGCTCATGGCAATACCAAGCAGGATGCCTTAATTGCTTCAATATAACCCATTGGGTCGTGATAGCTAAGCAAACATTCATCTTCCAAGTCCATAGCGTACATAGCACGCATATTCATGCTCAGAGGCTCCAAGCGCTTCAAAGGCACTGTTGCTCTGCGCAAGTCCCAGACCTGTCATCATCTTCTCCAACTCAAGTCGTTTCACTTTTGCGGCCAGGACAAAGTCCTCTGGCAAACGAGATGCCCCAACTTTGGACACGCCTTTCACATACCTGGCATGTATGCGTAATGGTGTCAAACCTGTGGGTTCATGTTTCGCTTTCATGGCGCGCTCGTGAGGAAAGGAAGGAAACGAGGGGGGGCAACAGCATGTTATTCGAACTAGATGCCATGGAAAGACTTGTACAGATGGGTATGGTTTCCCGGTACAACGTTTGTGAACAGAGCTGCTGGGGGAATTCTGCGCAGAACTCTTTCGCGATGTCCTTGTCTTTGACGTAGCGACCAACAAAAGCGCAGTCCTCCAGTCAGCAGAGTACGAAAGGCACGCTGCAACGCCCCCTCATGCAAAAGAACCATCAGGCCAACTTCAACCTCACGTGATTCTTGGACCAGCTGTGTTTGGCGATGGTCCAGCGGCTAGCTGTTCAAGAAACAAGAAGGCTCAAGCTCAAAATGTCAAGAACCGCTGCACACAACAGGCCCTGATGCATGAAACACATGATCATCCTTGATGCCGATGCAATCCGCATCGAAATGGGCGGTGGCCTCTACAAAGCCTTGCTCAGCTCAAGGGTCTGACTATGCATGGTGCCTTAAAGTAAAGTCCTTCGGTAATCAGGGCATTGTAGCAGCCAGGATAGACTCTCTCAAATCACGTGGACTGGGCCTGACAACTATTGAATGCAACTTGGTGGCACAAGGCGAAGCCTTTCTCCTGAATCCAGCAGAAGTGTATTTAGTGATCCTAGTGAGCACACGCGTGCCTCCATGTAGCACATAGCAGCGGTTGCTGTGTCATTTGGCAGACAAGAGAAATGTTGCTACAACTGGCCTTCGAGTATTCTGCGCGGAGGTTAAACAGCAATTCCTGACCGCTGCGGCTCTTTAGAAACCTGGGCTTCCAACTTCATGCGCCAAGAACATGCGAGTTAGTTGTCTCGCCTTCGCGTCAAGCCTCCTACTTTGTTGCTTTCGCAGGCCCGCACAACAGTGAGAGGAAAAAATACTTTTCTTCAAGCCAGAGGATCTGCACCTTCTGCGTGCAATCATGGACCGTGGGCCCTACGGTCCCTAGAGCCTTGGAGCCGCTCGGGACCTTCCTCAGATAAGCGCGCAGACTGGAGATCCTACCGGTTCGAGATAGTCATATATTCGTAGGCGTTGTATGAGGTGCTTTGGTATGAGGATCACACAGAGGTTATGCAAAAACTGCCAGGTTTAATAAAGGTAATGCATTTATCACCCGGCTTTATAACGTAGATGCCTACTATACTTCGGGGACTGGTGGGACACACAGGTTGCCATCTCCGTGCACCTGCAGGCAGAGGTTCGGAACTGTCTGGCCTTCCCACATGCGTACGCAGCAGCAAGTGGGTTCTCGTTTTCAGTTTTAGGGGTGTCTCGGGGTCTGGGGGCAGATCAATGAAAAGCGGATGTTTCAGCGTTCGGAGGCACACAAGCATTCGCGGCACGTCTTCCGCACGAATGGCCGAACGTCCACCCCCGAGGACAGGAGATCCGAGGCAGGAAGGTCCTGCGAAACTACGAAGAAGTCCTGAGAAAGACTCTGAGAATTGTCAGAAGAAGTCGCCTGAGTAGATCCTGAAAGAGGTCATGAAAAGGTCCTCTGAAAGCTCATAATTTGCCGTTGTGTTCTTGGCTCCTAGTACCTGTGTGTGTGCGCGCGTGGGCGGTTTCCTTACATCCGGCTCTTGCGTTTCTGGCTGCATTCGACTCTCCGCCCGCCTGGCCTGCCCTATGCCCACTCGTGCTGCAGACACGGGTCTTCCCGGTCGATTTGGTACACGGGGCCCCCTGCAGACAGCAATTCTCTGCACGGTTCATTTTGCATGACGTTTCTGGGCTTGGAAGCATTTTGCGAAGAGGCCGCGGTTGGGGTCTGGTGGCGAAATCCGTGGCTTAACAGGGCTTGTCTGCATTGCTTAGCAGGGCTAGGTGCTATGGACGCTACAACGCTGGGCTTTCTGCATAGTACACTGCAATTTAAGTTGACTGTGATATCTTGCATACCTTCGTTGCCTGGGTCGCAGGCGAGCTTCGTCATGATGCCTTCTTGCGCTGCACGCATAGCATCATGAAAAGCAATGCCTTTTTTGCCAAAGTCGAAGGCAACAGTCTTGGGATTGTCCGTGTCTGCATACATGAACAGGTTCAGGACTCGGACTTTCCTTGGCTTTCCACTAGGCAAACAGAGCATGACACAAGCCCGGCAGTTGCCAAGCCATATAAGACCCGGCGAAACAACTCACAGCAAAGAAGGCACAGGAAAGGAAGCACTGCCGCCAAACCAACATCAAAAATGCACCGGCACTATGCGACTGCATAGGAATCATAAGCCCTAGTTGAAGTAGGCGGAGGCAACAACGACCGTTTTACAGCAAGCAAAAGGGCTACGAAAGCACTCCTTTTTACTTGAGCAACACAAGTGTCCCAACCTATGCTTTCACTCGGGCTTTCTTAACTACCCTAAACCCTAACCGAAATCCTATTAGAAATGTGTAGTTCGTCTAGTCGCCGAGGATCAAGTTCTGGACATCCAGGCCTTGACCAAGAACGACTTTGCAAGAGATCGAGACGTCCTTTTAGGGTTTAGGGTTTCGGGTTTGGGGTCTGCAGATTGTTCTTGACAAGCTATAAACATGCTGACGAAACTCGCTCCTTCAGGAACTTCTTTAGCGCGTCACTGCTCTTGAAAATCTCATGCATGCCATCGATGGCTTTCATGCCCTTGGTTGCCGAAAGGAAAACCATCTGTCATCTGTGCAATCTCTTGACTCTTGACTCAGCCTTTTGGAAACCGGACAAGATCTCAAGCGCGCAGAAGCCAGCGGCTGTAACACCCAAACTCTGGGGTTTTGTCAGCTCTTACCATGGTAACGCCAAGGGTATGAATTGCTTGAACACAAATCGTGCTCAATTCGGTGCATCCGGCAACTATCCCATTGCAAACCCTGTGTTCATGCCGATGCCATGAGGGCTGTACCAAGGACCTTGTTCCTACTACGTACGTACTCCGCCTGGTACTCGGGGTGATGAAAACAACAAAACGCATTTGTTTTCACCAATTTGGGACAATGATTCGTCGTAGCCATTCAGTTCAGCCTAGCATCAGCCGACTTGTCACGAAATGTCTTGGTAAACTCTTCGAGGTCCTCAAAGGTCAGCTCTTCAACCTCAGATTGGGATTCAGACGAGTCCCCTGGGTCACGAAGCAACGCTGACACAACATGCGCTGGTCCCTCAAAATAAGTCTGATGAACAAGCAACCTCAATTTCCATACCTGCGCCCACTGAGCCAATGATCTTTGATAGAGGAATTGAAACCTTCAGGCCAATCTGCAACTCGATGCTATGGACTCGGAGGTCTTTGGGCTGGCTTGACAGGCAGAGATAACCAGATAACCCGAACTTCGAGACAACAACTTCAAGCGCAGGATGTTGGTCACAAAGGGGCTGCAGTTGGTTGATGCAGGAGCTGGACTCTACGTCAAAAAGAGCTGCTGCCTCGGACATGACAGTCATAAGATGGCTGAGGGTAAGCCTCTGGAAGCGAACCTCGACTCGTTCATGTAGAGCTCTTGTGACATCCTCCCAACAGAAAGTCAAAGACCCCAGGTGGAACTTTGCATCCTTCACACTGATCTTTCCTTCTCGGCCGTCGAGGCACAGCTGGCCGCTCAGGACAAACTTCGACAGCACACTGGACAAGACCTCGCAGTTGCTGACTGCCCTCGCAGCACTGTCATCCAACATGCCTGCAAACTCCGAGAAGAGCTGGAAAAGCTCGTCCAGGCTAAAGTTCTCGACATCGATGTTGACAGGCTGTCGCATGGCAAGCTTCACCTGATCCCAGGATACCTGCAAAGCTCCAAGCCCAAATCTCATGTCGCTCAGTGTCATCTGGCGCGAGTTGCTTTCCACAAAGATCTGGCCACCCAACTTGAATTTTGAGAGTAGCTTCATAATCGCGTGATCTTGGAAGGAGATGATGGCTTCGTTGGCGCTCTCATCAATGCAACCAACCAAATTCTTCAAAGAATCCAGCAAACTGTCAAGGGTGACCTTCTCAAGGTCGATTTCGATCCGTTTCGTTGCCCAATCTCGCACCTGCTCCCAATCGATCTTCAGGGCATGCAGGTGGAACTTTGCATCCTTCACACTGATCTTTCCTTCTCGGCCGTCGAGGCACAGCTGGCCGCTCAGGACAAACTTCGACAGCACACTGGACAAGACCTCGCAGTTGCTGACTGCCCTCGCAGCACTGTCATCCAACATGCCTGCAAACTCCGAGAAGAGCTGGAAAAGCTCGTCCAGGCTAAAGTTCTCGACATCGATGTTGACAGGCTGTCGCATGGCAAGCTTCACCTGGTCCCAGGATACCTGCAAAGCTCCAAGCCCAAATCTCATGTCGCTCAGTGTCATCTGGCGCGAGTTGCTTTCCACAAAGATCTGGCCACGCAACTTGAATTTTGAGAGTAGCTTCATAATCGCGTGATCTTGGAAGGAGATGATGGCTTCGTTGGCGCTCTCATCAATGCAACCAACCAAATTCTTCAAAGAATCCAGCAAACTGTCAAGGGTGACCTTCTCAAGGTCGATTTCGATCCGTTTCGTTGCCCAATCTCGCACCTGCTCCCAATCGATCTTCAGGGCATGCAGGTGGAACTTTGCATCCTTCACACTGATCTTTCCTTCTCGGCCGTCGAGGCACAGCTGGCCGCTCAGGACAAACTTCGACAGCACACTGGACAAGACCTCGCAGTTGCTGACTGCCCTCGCAGCACTGTCATCCAACATGCCTGCAAACTCCGAGAAGAGCTGGAAAAGCTCGTCCAGGCTAAAGTTCTCGACATCGATGTTGACAGGCTGTCGCATGGCAAGCTTCACCTGATCCCAGGATACCTGCAAAGCTCCAAGCCCAAATCTCATGTCGCTCAGTGTCATCTGGCGCGAGTTGCTTTCCACAAAGATCTGGCCACCCAACTTGAATTTTGAGAGTAGCTTCATAATCGCGTGATCTTGGAAGGAGATGATGGCTTCGTTGGCGCTCTCATCAATGCAACCAAGCAAATTCTTCAAAGAATCCAGCAAACTGTCAAGGGTGACCTTCTCAAGGTCGATTTCGATCCGTTTCGTTGCCCAATCTCGCACCTGCTCCCAATCGATCTTCAGGGCATGCAGGTGGAACTTTGCATCCTTCACACTGATCTTTCCTTCTCGGCCGTCGAGGCACAGCTGGCCGCTCAGGACAAACTTCGACAGCACACTGGACAAGACCTCGCAGTTGCTGACTGCCCTCGCAGCACTGTCATCCAACATGCCTGCAAACTCCGAGAAGAGCTGGAAAAGCTCGTCCAGGCTAAAGTTCTCAACATCGATGTTGACAGGCTGTCGCATGGCAAGCTTCACCTGATCCCAGGATACCTGCAAAGCTCCAAGCCCAAATCTCATGTCGCTCAGTGTCATCTGGCGCGAGTTGCTTTCCACAAAGATCTGGCCACCCAACTTGAATTTTGAGAGTAGCTTCATAATCGCGTGATCTTGGAAGGAGATGATGGCTTCGTTGGCGCTCTCATCAATGCAACCAACCAAATTCTTCAAAGAATCCAGCAAACTGTCAAGGGTGACCTTCTCAAGGTCGATTTCGATCCGTTTCGTTGCCCAATCTCGCACCTGCTCCCAATCGATCTTCAGGGCATGCAGGTGGAACTTTGCATCCTTCACACTGATCTTTCCTTCTCGGCCGTCGAGGCACAGCTGGCCGCTCAGGACAAACTTCGACAGCACACTGGACAAGACCTCGCAGTTGCTGACTGCCCTCGCAGCACTGTCATCCAACATGCCTGCAAACTCCGAGAAGAGCTGGAAAAGCTCGTCCAGGCTAAAGTTCTCGACATCGATGTTGACAGGCTGTCGCATGGCAAGCTTCACCTGGTCCCAGGATACCTGCAAAGCTCCAAGCCCAAATCTCATGTCGCTCAGTGTCATCTGGGCCAAGCTGCTATCCACAAGGATCTGGCCACCCAACTTGAACTTAGACATTATGTTCCTCATAGGGCTTTCGCGGAGGAAGCTGATGGTTTGGTCGACACCATCGCCGAAGCACGCAACAACCTCCAGCAGCGAATCAAAAGAGAAATCGGCGGCAGCAATTGGAATCGGATTCTGAATCGATTCTTTGATCTGATACAAAGAAAGTTGCAAGCTGCCAAAGTGCAACGTCACATCTGACAACTCGACGACAGCTGCAGCCTCCACTGACAGCGTCCCCGAGAGCACACATCGAGAACCGACTTGCTGCAAACCCTCCAGCTCCTCACTGGGCGGTAATACTTGCAGTAAATCGCCCAACGCTGCAGATCTGAAGGGCAATAGAATGCTACCATCTGAGGCCCGGCGGACCAAGCCATCCAGCGGTATCTCCAATGACAACAATTGCCTTGTCAAGAAAACAGTCAAAGTATCTTTGCAAGCCCCCGCACTTGCGCACACGGACACGGCAAAATTCAGGGTTTGAGGGCCAAACGGATGCAAAGGCACAGCTTTGCAGCACCTTCTTCAGGATCAACTGAAGCATTTTGCATTAAGAGCTTCAGCGGAGAATGATGTTTCATGTCTCTCAGTGACTGAAGAATATCCTGAAAAGAAGCGGCGGAAGAAAGACTGTCAGAGCTGTTCATACCCCGACGCAGCAGAACGTGTAGCAAACCCCGTCCTTAGTCTTTTCATCGACACTGCATCGTGACAAGAAGTCGTCAACTAATAGCATTCGGCGTCCTGCAGAGGAAGATATCTGGTCACCACAAATCTCTAAACTGACAAGTAAACAACGCAAACCTGATACCCAACACTTCCAACACGTTCCGGTCCTGTTTCCATGCTGCGATGGTGCAGCAGACACCCTAGCAGGCCTGATTGTCTACAATAGGACTACGGTAAAGGCAGTCTACAGCGGTTCACAAAACAGATGGTGACAGAGTGATAGAGTGATGCTTTCCGCTACTTTGGACGCTTCGTAAACCCTGGCATAGGCATACCGTTACGCTCAGTTGACTGGGCGCTGTTGTGACAGGTGATAGTCCCTGCATCCAGCTACGTTCGTGGCAATGCTTCAAAAAGGCAGAAAAGCGGGCTTGTGCAGTGACCAAGTCCGAGCAGTAGTGTTGCTGTGCTCTTCTGACTTTGTCTGTGCCGCTGTGGGCTGTTGGAAGGTGCAAGCCAACATGCATCTTATTTTTGATTTTCGGCAGACTTGCATGATGATAGAGCACTGCAGTTGACACATGTTGTAAAACAGGAGGTGCAGTGATGCAACTTGCTGAAAGAGCCTCCAGCGACGGCAGCCAGGTGAGGGACAAGGGAACATGGTGACAGTCACAGTGATGAAGTCATGCGCGCAACACAGACTCTCATAAGCTGCATGACAGAGACGCACAAGAAAGGTTTTCACCAATGCTCTTCGGATTTGCATCGAAATATTGTCCATGTCGGGCATCGAAGCCACTTATAATCTCATTTGTAGTTGCGGAACAACCCCTCCATCTGGGAGTTGCCGCGTGCAAGGTCTTTGCATGTGGAGCCCGCATTGTTCTTCTTGGAAGCGCTGGCTTTGAAGCTTTCCAACAAGATTTTGCAGGATGAAGTTTCACCAGCTTTAGCCATGTAGTGCAGCAGAGTATTTCCGTTTTGCCCGTTGGCTTGGTTCACATCACACTTGGCCTGGCAAAGAGCAGATATGATCTCATCTCTGTCCTTCTTATCGCTCACATGTCTCGCCATGCAGAGCGGTGGGTCCCCCGATCCGTCCATCCACTGAAGATCGGGTTCGTGAACTGGGTTCAGCATCTCCTGCAGATACTCCACTTGAGCATGTCGAACGGCCCAAGTGAAACAAGTGTTTCCGGTTCCATAGCCACTTGATGAGCTCGTCATGAGGTTGATGTTAGCCGCGCAGGAACTGTTACCATCGCCACTGAGAAGAGCTCGTACTCTGGGCAGATCCCTTTGGGGGTTTCTGGCCTTAATGAGCTGGCTCAGTTCTACTGTGTTGTCGTATTTTTTTTTATCTGTTTCGATCTTCCTCTGGTTGGCCTCCAGGTGCTGTCGCTGTTGCGCATTCACCTCTGCCTGCCGTCGGGCCATCTCCTGCTCAGTCTTGGCCAGCTCCTTAAGATGGCTCTTCGTCTTCTCAAGCAACTTTGCCTGTGCATTGCATGCTTCTCGCTGTGCCTTCTGCTCCATGTCCATCAGTTCCGACTTTCTGATGAGCATTTCGTTTGCCTGCTGCTGGTCAGCTACCCTCTTTGCGGCTGCCGCAAGTTTCTCCTCCTCCTTTTGCCTCTCCACTTTGCGGGCCTCCTCTTCAGTGACTCGCTGCAATCTCATTTGCTCCTCACGAATCTTTCGTGCCTCCTCCAACGCCTGCTTGTTCTCTAGCATCTTCTCCTTTGCATCTGAGAAGACCTGGCTTAGCACCAGTTTCTTCCAAGCACCATCATCTTCGGCACGCCTCCCCTTGAACTCCTGCTCAAGCTCGTGGATTACGCTCGGGGACAACCAAAGGTGCCCCTTTGGGTTGTGCTTGTCTTTGTCAGATCCAGTTGCCATGCGCAGCTCTGCTTTGATCTTGAGAAGCCACCACTTGCTCAGCTGTTCCCATTCTGCGCGGGTCTTCCAGCAGCAGTAGACCATGAGGTAAAGATCTGGTATAATGAGATAGTTCCGCTGCTGCGTCACTGCAACAATACGCATGAGACCTAAAATCTGCTGGGATCGACGATCACTCATGCGGCCGCCACCTTCTGTGGAGAGTCGCTTTGAAGCAGCCTGCTTCTCTTCTAGAGCATCCAAGTGGCGCAGGTGCGAAACGAATTCCAGAACAATGTCATAGATCTTGCGAACTTCCTGCCCCCCAGAGAAGCGGAGGAAGACCGGAAACTGGGCATCAGCAGAAGCAGCTGTCTTCCTTGGACAGAGGCTCAGGGCTTCTGCCTGTTCATGTCTTCCGTCATCATGAAGAACACAGCTATTCTTCACAGTTTCCACAACGACGCGAACTTGACTATCAATGACACAATCCAAGGGCGTTTAGGCCCAGCTCTAGAGGCTCTAGTGCCATCCAGCTGCAAGCTACCACCCGTGCCCTCACAATTCTGTGACACTGCCCATAATTGCCAAGCATCTCAGGAAGCACTGCTTCGCGCAACTTTTTGCACGACTTGTACCCTTCAAGTTTCCATCCTGCCTCTAGCTTCTGGAACTGGAAATCCGAGCCACGAGTAGCATCTGCTTGCAGATCTGCTGGCTTGGGGTTGAAAGCAGACCTGGGCACAGTGAATAAAGCAAAGTTGGCAGTGAAACTTCTGACAGCAACAGGAAAACTCAGAAATGTCATAGTTGTACTTAGAGTCTTGGCATAATCAAAAACGTCATGGCCGGGTGACCTAGGCAATTGGAAAGGAAGGGGAGGTGCAGCCTTGAAAAACTACACGCGCTGAGCTCACGACTTTTTTACAGTTACCGACCCATCGCGGTCCTCCAGAAAATGTTCATCCAACAAACGTTTCGCTTCTGCCTCATTCTGCAGGACCAGGAAGTACTCACATTTCTTCTTCCATGTCCAAGTTGTGTCGCATTTGTCCGCCGGGTGTGCCATCTGCTTCTTGGCAATCTTGTGCAACAGGTCGACATCCTTGAGTGAAAAAACAGGGTGGATGTCTCGGTCACTGGTTTCAAACTTTGAGTTCATGATCCTGTTCAGCGGCACGTCATCACCTGCGGATGGACCATCGGCACTGACCTGGCAGCAAATACAGCAAGCAAATAGAACGCGGACTAAGAAATAGCATTGCCAAGCGTTGAAGCACGCGCGGAGTTTTCACATGTAACTGCTCTCGGCCGAGTGGCATAGTCTACCAGCACCCGCATCAAAAAGCGGTCCATCAGTGCGCCAGCGCCAGCTTCAAGTGGAACTTCGTTGCTGGCCACCACTGCTGTAGACAATGGAAGGTCCTTCAGCATCTGGCTTCCGTTCTTGAAGCATCTCTCATTCAAAGTGGAGAGCAAGCCTTGGCCGACACCAATGAAGCACACGAGGCTTTGGATCACATGTCCTATGGACCACTCTTGCAACCCGCACATCGCATCGGACTTAGGGAGAATGCCCCTGAATACCCCAGCATGTGCAATCTCATCTATGGGAACGGCCGCTGAGAGTGCAGCTCAGGAACAGGACAGTAACGACGGCTGTGCCTTGAACACTTCATCTAGGAATGCAATCGCCGCATATGGCAGCCTGGGCTCATTTGCAGGTTCATGGATGCAGTCTGCGATCGCAGACAACAGTATACTTTTCTGTGGTATGACTCTGCAAGTGGGCAACTAGCTTTGTAGCTACAACACTGGAAAGGCCACCCCCACATACCCATGAATTGCCAGAGAAGACTGAGGACTTACCGACCAGTTCTTTTGCACAGGAAATACAGGAAATAGAGGAATGGATTGCAAGGGCGACGGCGCGGCAGAGTCGAACATGTCACAAGGTTGCTGTCGTTCAGTCCCTCATCGCCCGAGTAATTAGGGCCCACCACCACAACAGCTGCTCTTGCACTGCATGGTAAGGTCTACGAGTCTGCGAAACACATACCGGAAGAGCGCCTGAAACATGAACGAGAAGCATCGAGTTGACATTGCGTCGAATGCGCCCCTGTCTCAAGTCATTGAGGCTCGTGGGTCCGAATATATCTTCCACAGTTGTTGATGGATGAAACTGCGCCTCGAAGTACAATCCACCAAAATCTTCATGAGTATCATAGAGAAACTGGCTCAACAAGTGCGCCACGTAGCTCTTGGCTGTTCCGGGTGGACCGAACAGCAAAATATGTTGTTTGGCCACCACTGCCAAAACTAGAAGCCTGACAACCTCATCTCTGTCGACAAGCCTTTTCGACATGGCTGTAATCACCTGCGTCAGATGCTCTAACACCTCGCAATATGCTTTGTGCTGTGCTGCCCTACGTAACTTTAAGGTCCTCTTAAACAAGGGGCATTCAAGAAAGAACGCCTCCCGAAACACAGCCCAGCTACCGTCTTCAGGCTGTCGTGAAATTTCTTGATATGTGGCCATGGGTCATTGTCATTTTCATCTTTCAATCCGGCAAAGATTTTGCGGCTGAGATGCGAACCTGTGTCCTTCGAATACAACTCTTTGCGGAGATACACGTCCTTGTCTCTTGTGTACCCCTCCTGCTGTTCAGGCGCCGTGCTAGCTTCATTCCTTCCTCCTGCTGCAGGCATTTGAAGTTGAGCCGGTCGAGCGGCAATCTGGACCTCAAGCTCTTTCACTCGCCTGCGCCACACGTTGCCTAATGATAACTCAAAGTTCTTCTTTGATTGCAAACCTGTTTTGAGAGGCCGGCCGCCCCCTCTTCAAAACTAAAACATTACTGATGCAAGGCCTAGTCGCTCCTCTAGAACTTGCTTTTCCTTCTCAAGCTTGGAAATGCGTATGCTGCTGTGAATCTTGGCTTCTTCCATGCGGCCGGTCAACTGTCCACACTCGCGCACTGCTTCCTGCTTCGAGTCCTCGACACAAGCAGCATGGACGAAATTGTGCCAGACATTAATGCTCTCACCTATGGCCTCCATGATCTTGATCGCCTCGTGCTTACTTAGTCCTACAGCTAGTTTCAACCGTCAAGCATGCGGAATATGATCAGATATTGGTTCTTCCTCAGGACCGGACTTTATTGTTCGTAAATATTTTCATCCCCAAAACCACGAATCTATCATCGTACAAGTATCATGTTTAACACAAACAGCAAGCGGATGCTGAGCAGGCCCCAATTCAACAACTCATGCGGCACTTGAAGACTGCTCATAGATGCCCTGCTCTTGGTAACATGGCTGCATCGTGCCTGCAGGTGCGCCTGACTTCTGGTGTTCCGGGCTGCGAGCACGAGCTTCCACCATTCTGCAAATACAAGGAATCCAGTAACCAAATCGGCCTGCCAAATATCGGTAGAGATAGGGTTTGAGGTTCAGGAATCGAGGAAGGAACTCAGCAGCCAAACCGGCCTGCCCAATGAGGCGCAGCGCGAAGGCTTTATTATTTGCCTTAGCAGCGAGTTTCCACAATGCAGAAAACCTATGCATTCGCAAGCATGTGTTGTCTGTACGTCTCGTGTCTCCAGATACTTGGGGCGCCTGGAGAGGTTCACCGGGTTAGGTTCAAAGCAAAACTTGCTCCGATGGTTGCTTGGGGGTCCGAAGTGACACCAGAACGGAGATTTTTCGGGGTTTGGGGGTTTGTTCTAAAGGGGGTTCGCGACAAAGAATCGAGGTGGGTTGGGCATCCGTCCAACGGCGACGGTGCCCCTCATACTACCAAGCTTGATGACAGCTGGCATTCTAACATAGCCCCGTACTGCAAGAACCCTTAACGCTAGAACGCCCCTGTCCCCATATCATCCGCCGAGGCCTCCGACATCCGGGTGTGTGCAAACAGGACCGCTGGAACTCTTCGCCCTCCAACTCTCCCCTTACCAAAGGTGGGTGCCTCCAGGAATGTCTACTTTGCCTACTCTGTACCGGTGGATGCTTGAAATAAACGAAACACGGCCTGGAAAACAGTGGGTTCAATTTTGTTTCGGATCTCAGAGGCCCTGGAAGCCAGAAAGAGCTGTGGCGGCACAAGCTTTTCTTCAAACAGGGATCCACACACTAGGTTATAGGCGACCGATAGCACACAACATGCCAACTGTACAGAGTGTATATATATATATATTACCAGACAATAACGAAACGTGGGTTGAGCCTGTTGGTGCTTCAAGGCTGACAGTGTTTGAGGCATTTGCTGGGGATTGGGAGGTTTTCGGATTTGGGGTTTTGGGTTTGGGGTTTGGCGCTTTTGGGTAAGAATAAGTATGTCCGCAGCCCTCGACGAATTGTAATCAACTACCCAGGCACCTCCAGGTAGATTCTTAACAGTTTCGGCTTTTGGGGACTTCGAGGTTTGTTATTGGTTGCAATGCGTTTCTTTGAGCCGAAAGCTTTAGGCGATTTCAAGCTCAAGCTTGTAGATATTTTCCGAGGTTCACAATTTAGCGGTTCGGGGGATTGAGGTTTAAGGATTCTGAAACGCACGAATGTCCACGGGACTGCACAAAACGTACAATCGCTTTTGTGCGATCGTCAACCCTTTCTGTTGTATTCTATGCAAAACCACCTGACACATTGCACCACTCGTACACCAAGCCACGTAGTCCCTGAAAGCCGCAAGCTTCTCCAAAGGTGCTTACGTTTCAATGCTGAAAATCGGGACTTGGACAGCAAACAACCTGTGGATGACTATCGCTCTTTGGAATAAGTATGTAAAGAGCCCTGCATCAATGTCGCAACAACGACCTGAAGAGGACACATGACTTCGTCAAGTGTCTGTGTAGTGGCTGAGCCGAAATGCATGCTGCACGCACCTGCAACACCTGCAATCAAGGCGCTTGCTGCGCATGTTGCGCGCGTGCGCTGCGAGCGCTTTGACGCTTCGCCTAAGCAAAGTCTCAGAATGTTGCAAATCTGGATGACTGCAAGAGTCTAGAAGAGACACACATGAACCCGAGATGCCAGTAAGTGTTCGGACAAGAGGTTGGGCACAGAAATCCGCCGGCCCCAGCGGCAGCGGGGCGGCGTCAGGGAAGACCCATAGTGTCCTGTTCACCCCTTACCGTGTCCCCTCACCCCGCCCTTGCCCGCTTTGCCGCCCTCACAGGGCTCCCACGCATGCCCAAGTCTCCCTAAGCCCGATCCAGCGCCCTGCCCGCCCTGCCTGCCCTCCCCCTTTTTTTCCCCTTGCTCCCCACTTTGCCGCTTACAGGGCTCCGACGCACGTTTAGGCCCCTTCCTCCCTGCTTTGCCGCCCACACAGGGGCTCCGACGCATGCCCAAGTCTCCCCAAGCCCGATCCACCCCACCCCCATTCCTTTCCAGCCCTGGCCCTCACCTGCCTCTGCCCCCATCTCCTCCAAAAACCTCCAACCACACAGACTCGGTATGTGGGGGATGCTCGTGATGATAACTGTTTGACGGTTTTTGTCTGTAGACGGCTGGCAAAGAAGAAAAGTTGCCGTTCATGCATTTCATAAGCAAGGGTTTATGAAGCCCACTCCTTGCGCTTGCGTTTCTGACTGGCCCGTAGACAAGCTGGCCAAGAACACTCCAGACGCAAGCAGAGAAGCACAACGCGAGCACCTGCCACAATCTGACGAATTCAAGTCAATTAAGCGTGTCGCTCCGGAGATCTCATGTGCGTGAGTGCACGCAGCATTGCCTAAACATATTCCCAGCTCCTTTGCACAAAGAGCTTCCCATCTTGCCACTACTGGGAATTCTGCAACGCAGGCCAGAGAACTAAGCATACATCAAGTGGGCGCGAGGCACCGGATCTTTTGCAGAAGACTGCACCTGCAATGTCTTCTGAAGCTGTGTTTTGCACTGCAGCTCGGTCAACTACGTAACTAATTGAGTTGATGCAACGGCTCATTCGCTTTCAATCTGGACAGACTGCTAACATCAGACATGCACGAAATGCTAGATCTTTCGCTGCAAACAGTGCCTGGCACGTCTCCTGGTCTGTGGAATGCACGGGGTGCTTTGCGGGAGCTCAATCGAATAACTCAGCTGGGGAAGCCAGCTTCCCACTCTTCCCGCTTCCATGCTGGTTCGCCGATAGTTTTCACGGTTGCAAGCAGGGTTCACTCGAGCACAGAAGCATGCGTCAAAACGGCGCAACACACCTCATCTTCTGAGTCGGGCATTGGCTTCACTGGCTGTTTCTCCCCCGCCTGCCAGGAAGTCGAGGCTGCGTGTGCATTGCGAACTCGACCAGTTTGAGAAAGAAACGGCCTACATGTAACCGGCACAATACAAGATATTCGTGCCCGCCATGTCTCCTGGCCAAGGAATGCACGTAGTGCTTTGCGGGAGCTCAATCGAAACTCAGCTATGCGCCAAGTCTGATAAACTGTTCGTTGAGTCTCGTGCTCAATAAATAAACGTCCAAGAAAAGCCCAGGGAAAAACCGATTATGGGAAAAACTTCAGCTGGTAAGCCGATTGCCCACTTTTACCGCTTCAACACTGGTTTGCCGATAGTTTTCACAGTTGCAAGCAGGGCTCACTCGAGCAGAGAACATGGAAATTCAGCATGCGTCATAACGGCACAACACACCTCATCTTCCGAGTCGGACATTGGCTTCATTGGCTGTTTCTCCCGCGCCTGCCAGGAAGTCGAGGCTGCGTGTGCATTGCGAACTCGACCAGTTTGAGAAAAAAACAGCCTACATCAAACCGGCACAAACACTGGTTTGCCGATAGTTTTCACGGTTCTCGAGCAGAGAACATGGAAATTCAGCATGCGTCATAACGGCACAACACACCTCATCTTCCGAGTCGGACATTGGCTTCATTGGCTGTTTCTCCCGCGCCTGCCAGGAAGTCGAGGCTGCGTGTGCATTGCGAACTCGACCAGTTTGAGAAAAAAAACAGCCTACATCAAACCGGCACAAACACTGGTTTGCCGATAGTTTTCACGGTTCTCGAGCAGAGAACATGGAAATTCAGCATGCGTCATAACGGCACAACACACCTCATCTTCTGAGTCGGACATTGGCTTCATTGGCTGGTTCTCCCCCACCTGCCAGGAAGTCGAGGCTGCGTGTGCAGGAGGTGTTGCAATGCTGGTTCTTTGCGATCTCGACCGGTTTGAGAAAAAGCAGCCTACAGCAAACCGGCACAATAGTATATCTTCTGCTGAAAGCAGTGCCTGACATGTCTTCTGGCCAACGTTT